AACACATGTGGGGTTAATTGAAGGGCAGAGGGATAAATGGCTCCGTGAGCCTCATCTTTCTAGTTCTCGGGTGATGGTCAAACCAGGGTGCAGCTGTCTTAGCCAGGTCCCTGCTTCAGCTGGCAAGGCTCACTTCCTGCAAGATGTCTCCAAGGAGAAGCCACATGGACCTACCCTGATGCAGCCCTGGGTGCTGGAGCAGCCATGTGGAGACCCCTGCTGTGCTGAGATGCTTACAGGTTCACTGATTCAGCTTTCCTCCTGCAGTCGGCATCATAGTGTTTGTTTTATGAGGTGGAGGAGAACTTTGTGGATGGTGTCGGACATATGGGCTAATGTTGTACTTGTGGGTTTGGGCTGCACTGGGTTGGGATGTTTTTTTGATGTGCACTTAACCTTTATATAAAACTCTCTCTTATGCACAAGTTTCTGTGGATTTGTTTCTCTAAAGTACCCAGACGAACACAGGCGTGATAGCCTCCAGTTCTTTGGACTTGAGCTCGTGGTCTGCCATACTGCCTGGTGATCTTAGGAGTCATCAACAGTTTACCAACCTTGGATTCATTGCTTTGGCAACCAGAAGCCTGTTTTCTGACCTGCCAATCTTGGGCTCATCATCTCCTGTAGCTAGGTGAGTTACCTGTCCCATGAACTTGGACCTTGCCCACTTTTACAACGGTGTGATAGGTAGGTTTATTGTGCCAGCCTGGCCAATGAACACATGTGAGATTAATTGAAGGGCAAAGAGATAAATGGCTTGGTGAGCCTCACCTTTCTTGTTTCTTACTCTTTGATGATCGGACCAGTGTGCTATTGCCTTAGCTTGTTCTCTGCCTCAATTTTCAAGTTACACTACCTGTGGAACACCTAACCCATGGACTGTGTCACTGTAGTTTGAGGTTCCTTCAAGACTTGCTTTGCCATGCTACTGGAGTATGGCTACTGGAATATGTATCGCTTAAGCTGGGGACTGTCAGATCCTGTCATCTGGCTGGCTGGTTGGTGACCTGCCTTGCTGTTTGCTGCCTGTGGCCGTATAGCCTGAATTGCTCTACAGAGGACTACCCGGCGGCCCTCATGACTTGAAGGACTGCCAGTGTATTGGCTGTCTCACAGAAGTGAGTTACACTGGGCCATTTATACTGCTCTATAGATTAATTAGCTTTATTTCTTATGTTATATATATATATATATTTACATAAATATATATAAAATCATTAGTGTCCTGGTTTTATTTCTCTAGAGAACCCTGTCCAGCATAAACAGCATGAGCTGTTTTCTTGATGTAAACCTCTCTATGTACCTGGACGCTTCAGTGGGTTTGTAGTTGCATATGGGACTGCTAACCACAAGGTCAGCAGTGTGAACCCCCCAGCTGCTCCGCAGGAGAAACAGGAGGCTTTCTGCTCCGTCAAGATGTCCAGCCTCGGAAACCCAGTTCTACTCAGTCTTCTGGGATCCTGTGAGTCAGAATTGACTAGATGCCCGCAAACATATACACGACTTTGCTTCTTTAGAGAACCAGCTAAGGCAGATGAGAAAAACAAAAAACAAACAAAGAAACAAAAGACCAAGTCTGACCTGGCCTTATTTTCCACAGCCCTTTATCCGAGTTGTAATTTTCCGTTTACATGCATGCCCATCGACAATCGCCATCTGTCTCCTGACTACACCAGGGCTCTGTGAGAGTAGAAACCCTCACATCCTCAGGGTGTGGCGTGTCATCTGGAAATAGTAGGTGCGCAGTAAATGTTGGTTTAGTAAATGACTGCCTAGTTGAATAAAAAACTGCCCTGGTCAACTCGGCATGAGTAGAGAGCTCCTCAGAACACCTAAGACTCCACTCAGGGCCCCCTGTCCAAAATGAGACACTAAAGTGTTCCTTGGAAAATAGAAATGCATAAAAAAGGAGAAGAAGATTCTTTTTTCCGCCTGGCCTCCCTGGCTGCCAGCCCCTTAAATGCCCCGGGAACACTCCCCAGAGACGAGCTTGGTAGAACAGTCCAGAATTCTGAGAGGTGCTACGTTGGGTTGCCTCTTCTTCTCTACTGCCTCCTAAGACTAACCTGGCACTGGGCCCCGACCCCCACGCAGTGATGGAGGCCTGGGATGGAGTCGGCAAACGGATCCATCTGGAAATAGAAAAATAACCCCAACAAGGCGGTTTTGTCTGGCCTCCTCAGTGCGGTGTGCAGCAGGCGTGTGAAAGAGGCTTTGAGGCCGGATGGTGAGGGCCAAGTGGGGGGAGAACCTCTGTTTCCAGCGTCAGTTGGATGCCTGCGCTCAGACCTCCCTGGACCAGTGGCAAACCCCACCAGGATAGGGGCAGGAGCTAGGCCACACAGCTCAGCTCTCTGAGGAGCCTGTCCCAACCTAACTCCGAGTCACCTCGAATGAGTTACTTAGCCTTTCTCGGCCCATTCACGGCGACCCTATAGGGCAGGGTAGAAAAGAACTGGCCCTGTGAGTTCCTGAGATTGTAATTGCTTTCGGGAGTAGAAAGCCCCAGCTTTCTCCTGCACAGCGGCTGGTGGGTTCAAACTGCTGATGTTGCAGTTATCAGCCCAATGTGTAACCACTATGCCACCAGGGTTCCTCTTCTAGGCCGTAGTCTTCATCTTTACAGCGGGGGTGACAAGACCTCTGCCTTGGAATTAATGTGAAGGTCAAGCAAGAGCCTACAGTGTGAGCACCCAACACGGCGCCTGTTGTGGAGAAAAGGCCACGCTGCTAGTAGCCATGGTAACCACCAGCTGCCATTGCGCGTGACCCTCAGTGGGGACCACACACACGTGCATCACAGTAATGCTGTGCTTGGCTTGTAGGCTTGACAGCGGCCACAATGAGAAGGAGATGTTACAGTTCTGATCCTTTCTGCCTTTAGGAGCTAGAGTGGATGAAGCACTTCCCCAGCACACAGGGGGACCTCCCCTCGGCACCTCAGCTTCCCTGCCTGGGTAAGGGAGCCCAGGGATATGGGGTCTGGAGGTGTCTCGTCTTCCCTGAAAAGAGGAGACTCCCACCATCCTGCAGGAAGCCTGCCCACGTGCACAGGGCCCGGAGAGACACACAGACAAGGACTGGAACTGCCTTCTCACTGCCTATCGCCAGCCTCCTAGAGCCACTCGAAGTTCCTGTCACTTGGGACTTTGCCTTGTGAAGGCGAGGGGCTGGGCTGGGGACTGATGCCGCTTGGGCCTATCCCTCAGCAGCCCCTGCTGCCTGCTCTACCTGGGAGACTGTCAGGAAAGGAGCCCAGGGCCTGACTGCCGGTTTTCTCCACGGGGTCTCTGTCCTTCGTCAGGCTGTGTTCTATCTCGCAGACCTTTCTCCTGCTTCCTGTCAGGAAGCATGTGCTGAATATCCTCTCTAGTCCAGGAATACCATCCTTTCATCAGGAACATCGCTGTGAATAAAGGACAGGACATGGATCCTCTTTGGGGACAAACAGATCACTGTGGTTGGTGCCTTTGCACAGCAAGGGAGAGCACCCGGGACACGTTCTGTCTTGGAAAATGGTGGTCGTGGGAGTGGGGTGCTGGGGGTGCCGGGTGGTGGGAGGACAGCACTGCAGGGCAAACTGGTTTTGGGTAGGCAGAGTGGCCGTTCTATCTCGGAGAGGTTGAATTGGAGATGTCCATGGGGCAGCTGGAGAGAATCCACAAGGGGATGGACGGCTGGCGGTGAAACCCGTGGGACGATGGTGATGATGGTGGTGGGGATGATAGCAGCACTTACCAGGGGCTTTCTCCGTGCAGACAGGCTCCACTGCTAAGTGATTCGCATACCACCTCTCATTTAATTATCCAACAACTGTGAGGACGCTGTCTTCTTTCCCCAACTTTTAAAGAAATCCACCTGTGCTGGAGTTAGAATGCTAAATAGAACAAAGACTCTCCTGCCCTCCGTCTCCTCCCCTTCCCTATGCCCCTCTCTGGTGGTGGTGGTGAGGGTGTTGATGATGATGATGATAGTAATGATGGTAAAGGTGGTAATCATGGTGATGGTGATGGGGGTGGTGATGTAGGCAATAATGGTGATGCTTCAGCTGCTGCTGCTGCTGGTGACGATGGTGGTGGTCACGGCGCTGATGGGCATGGTGATGGGGGTGGTCATGGTGATGGTATTTATCAAGGGCTTTCTCCATGCCAGACAGGCTCCATGACTAAGCGATTCGCATACCACCTCTCAATTTAATTATCCAACAACTCTGAGGATGATGTATTCTTATCCCCAATCTTTTAAGAAAGACTTAAAGGGCATGGTGAGCACCTTTGGTGACGTTCCCTAGAAATAAGCCTGAGGGATGGATTCAGCCACAAGGGAGAGAAGAGGGTGCTGAGAGCCCTCGGGGCGAGCAGGGAGAGAGGGCGTGGTCTGCTCAGCAGGTTGTAAGCAAGGAGGTAACTTGTACATCAGAGCCTGCCTGCCTGGGCTCTGTGTCAGACCCCAGTCTCTGAGGGAGGTCACCGGCTCTGGTCAGCTCTGAGATGGACCGCCCGACTCTCGTGAGGAATCTTCCCCCAAGGACTGTCCTTGCTCTGATCCTAGAATGTGCTCAGATGTTTGGTGAACGGATGCTAGAGTTTTCTAAGAGTCCTGATCTGAGAGGCCTCCTTCTCTTGCCTGCCCCGGAGCCTGGGACGTTCCCACCTCTGGTAGGATGTCCCTCCGATACAAGCCCTCCCATTGGGAGACCTCCAGTCTCCCCCCAACTCATTCCCAGTGCCACAGCCAAGCCTCAGTCACCAGAGTCCTGAGCGGCCGCCCAAGATGGGGCTGGGAAACCCCTTGTGCCAGCAGGGAGGAGGCCGAAAGGGCCGCCCAGGACAGCTTCCACCCAGGGGCACCTGGAAAAGTCACCGAGCACCTCAATGGCCACGGACAGAAGCAGAGGGACAGAGAGACCTCCCAGACATGTCATTCTGCATCAGCCCCAGGACCTCTGCGTGGCCAGGGCAGAGGGTGGGGACACAGCCTTAGAAATGACCAAGGCGGAATGTCCTTTCAGTATACAGGCTCTCCGTGAAATTTTAATCAGTTCCGAGAAAATGAAGACATGTCATGTTTCTTCTGTGCCCGAGGTTTGGACCGAGAGTTCGCCTTTGTGGATATTGAACAAGCGAATGAGGACGTGGAAGAAGAAATGGAAGGTCCTTCCCTCCCACATGCAGCCATTAAAGGGGCAATTCCGAGAGACGGCGTTTCCACTTCTGGGACAGGCCAAGGAAGGGTCTCCTTGGGGCGGCTCTGGTGCTGGGGAAGGCAAATCAGAATGAAACAACTTAGGACTTCATTCAGGGAAAAGCCCCCTGTCTCTGAATTCCCCACAGCTCGGCAGGAGAAAGAGCGGGCGTTCTAACCCTGTGAAGCATTGCAGTCTGGGAAACACCTGTCCTAAGAGTCACGATGAGTCCACATCGCTGAGGCTTTCATTGCTGTTGATTTGGTTTTTTAATTTTGGGAGGAGGGTGGGGTGGGGAGGACGAACCGCCCCAGGAAGCACATTTGATGGGCTGCCTTTCTCTCTGCCCCCTGGGGAGGGACGCCGGTGAGGGCAGTCCAGGCACTGTCCGCTGGGTGCTGCAGCATCCCTGACCTGTTCCCAGTGCTGTGGGATGGGTGCATGAAGGCAGGCGGAGGGAGGATACGGTCTGGAGACACTCCAAAGGGCAATTGGGCTCCAGGAGACTCTGGCCCATGGAGTGCTGCCCATCACAAACCAAACCGGCCAGCTAGCCCCACGGGGCCCCTGGAGGCCTTGGCAGCAGAAGGCTTTGCAATCTAGCCCTTTGGATGTACGGATTGATGCCACATGATCTAGGAACCACTGAGTCACAGAGGCTTGCACTTGGATGACCCCTCCGATGCTCTCAAGTCTGAGACAGCATTCCTTCGAGACCTTTCCGGAGAGGTAGCTGGCTCTGCTTCAGGTGGGTAGGGAGGTCGCAGCAGGGAAGGACAGGGGACAAGAGGTTTCCGCAGGGAGAGATTTTAGGCATTCTGGCCTGGGATTCATGACTCCTAATGTCTGTCCGTGGCTATCAAGATGAGAGTCTGGAATTCCACAACTGGCCCTTCTTCTATGAGATCCTGAAAGTCCTCGACATAAACCACCCCTCAAGTCAGCGATGTGCTCAGAAACCCCCCACGGGGATTTTGGTGAGCAAGGCACCTGAAGATGCAGGAAGGGGACCCTGGGTCCTCCGTCCACCCCCTGCCCCTGCCATCTCAGGGCCCTCCCTTTCTTTGCCTTGACCACAGGGTCCCAGCAGGAAGCCAGCTGGCCAGGAGAGGCAGCTCCAAGAGCTCTGAGGCCGGCCATGGGGGAACGGTGTGGTCCCACCTCTAGTCCCACCACCTCCTGGCAGCAGGCGGTGTGGGCACAGCCTGTAATTTGGGGGTGGGAGACAGGAGGCCCAGGTCAGCTTTGACCACAGGGTCCCCAAGGGGAGGGAGTGGTCCTGAGGCTTGGAGAATCAAAGCCTTCCTCTCAGCTCCCTTGGTGACCCTGAAGATAAAAATATTTATGGACAATTTCCTTCACTCTGGGGACAGGCTGGGCACAGGCAGGGGCTGTTTTTTTCCTTGGCTACAGCTGATCTCTCAGGATGGAGGGAGTTGGGACAAACACAGGTTGTTTACGAGGTCCACCGGAGCCCCAGGGAGACACGGCCGAATACAGTTTCCCCTTTTCAGCAGGGACGTGAAGCTCTGGACCGGTGCCCGCAAGAACAAGGTGGGTTTCTGTCCTCCGTTAGCTTCGTGCTTGGTGGGGCTGGAGGGCTTTTTCTTCCTTTCTTGCCTGAGAGATGGGGTGAGTGTGTTTTGGGGAATAGCATGTTTCCCATAATTTGCCTTTTGAAAACACAGGGAAATTTGCGTATACGCCTGTAACAGCCTGGATGGAGAGCGCCCACCGCGCCAGCCCGCTCGAGCTCAATAAACACTTGTTGACCAGAATGAATGGATCATAGAAACGGCTGCCCGAGCAGGGGGGAAGGAAGGCTCCGTGGAGATCCTCTGGGCCAAACTGCTCGGGTTTCAGGAAGGGAAACTGAGGCCCAAAGAGGGGGAGGAAGGGGGAGGCGGCTCCCATCAGATCTCACAACTCATGATAACAATGCTGTGTGATACAATAATCTACATATATATGTATTCACATGCACACACAACTTTTGCTTTCTTTTAGAAACCCTCTGGGGGCATTGAGCATTCTCCAATCAACCAAAGAGTAATTCTTACTGTCTAGTCCTCCAGCAAGGCCACGGAGGAGGCCCAAGAAAGGCCAGAGTTCCCTGCAGAGAGCAGGGAGGCTGAGCGAGGCCCACCGGCTGACCCACTCAGCCAGGATGGGGAGAGTGGAGTTTAGCAACACCCTCGGCTGTTTTCCGTCCCTGGACCGACGCCTCTCCCGAGCAATCTAACGCCCGCAAGAAGGCACCAGCCCAAGCCAAGCCTGGGTTCAGATCCCAGCTCTGTCATACCTAATCTGGGCAAACAGCCCTCCAGGCCTCAGTTTCCTCACCTGCACATTGGAGTCTAGACACCCCCACCCCCCACCCCATGCTTTGCCTTCCTTACCAACAGCACAGGAATTGGTGTTCTGTTGGTGTTCCTGCTTCTAGAATTATGATGCGCCAGTTGGTCCCTTGGGCCATCCGAGAGACACAGCATATTTCAACGCCAGCCCTTGCGATAAAAATAGCTTTAAAGAGGGGGCATCTCACCAGGGTATCTGGACAGGATAAAAATAACCTTTAAGAACAGCCAGCTTCTTCTCTCTGCTTTCATATTCTCCCGCAGGCTTCTGATCTCTTATTTGGTTTCCCAAGTCGACTGACCCTCCCAGGCAGACAATCCTCCTTGTTCTTAGGCCAGTAGGTGGCAAATAGATGCCAAGGCCTAGGAGGAGAGGTTTGAGAGCCGGGACGACGGGTCCCATCCCAGTTCTGTGAGCAGCGCACGGTGTGGCTTCAGACAAGTCTCATTCAGGGCTCCCTTCCTTTCCCCTCTGCCGTGCTCTGTGGCCACCGATCCTGTAACTGACCTGCTTTCCACATTGGGCAACGGAACATGGAGATGTGGCTAGTGCGACGTAGAACCGAATTCTACAGTTAAAAACAAGTCTCCAGGGATTTAAATGGAAGTGGTCACACATGGCTAGTGGCTATCCCAGTGCACAAGGCAGATCTTTAAGATGAGAACAGAAGCTGCCCTCCAGTCCTGGGGCAAGAAAGATGGGGTACATGTAGATAGAGCTTCACCCCAGTGGCGTAGGGGTTATGAGTTAGGGGTTATGAGCTAATCACAGGGTCAACAGTTGGAAGCCACCAGCTGCTCCTTGGGAGAAAGATGAGGCTTTCTACTCTTGTACCAGAGGATGCACAGAGGTACAGATGGGAACTGGAAACGCGGGGAATCTAGGACAGATGAACCCCTCAGGACCAGTGGTGACAGTGGTGATACCGGGAGGGAAGTGGGGTAGAAAGGAGGAATTGATCACAAGGATCTACATACAATCTCCTCTCTGGGGCATGGGAAACAGAAGAGTGGGTGAAGGGAGACACCGGGAAGTGTAAGATAAGATATAATAATAATTTATAAATTATTAAGGGTTCATGAGGGAGGGGGGAGTGGGGAGGGAAGGGGATTGAGCTAATTCCGGGAACCCTAGAGGAAAGCGAATTTTGAGAATGATGAGGGCAACAGATGTATAAGTGTGCTTTACACAATTGATGTATGTATTGTGATGAATTGTATGAGCCCCAATAAAATGATTTAAAAAAAAAAAAAAAAGAGTGATCGTCTCAGAAACCTGCAGGACAGCTCTAGGGTCGCTGAGAATCAGCAGTGACTCATGGCAGCGAGGGAGCCAAACACCTGAGAGATGCTCACTGAGTGCTGGATTCCTTTGCTTCTTCTCTTGTCCTCTCCAAATGTGGATGTACAAGAATCCAGGAGCCACAGACTCTCCCCTGGAGACTGGTGTGGGGTTGACGGCTGGGGTGCTGAGTGAAAAGATGCGCCAGGGACCTCTGTGGCAGGGAGGGCAGAGAGCAGGGGTAAGTCTGAGGCGATGACAAAGCCAGGAAAGAGGAGGACGGACATGACTGGGTTTGTCCATGGGCACCCTGATTCTAGACGACTTTGTAAGCCTTTGACAAGTGGACCTGGAAGAAGGAAGGCCGAGGAAGAGTCGGTGCAGTTGGATCGTGGTGCTGGAGAAGAATATTGGGAAGTGCCACGGAATTTCAAAAAGACACACACGTCTACCTTGGGAAAGGTATGACCAGAGTGCTCCTTAGAGACAAGGATGGTGAGACATTGTCGTATATACTTTGGACACGTGGTCAGGAGAGACCAGTCCCAGGAGAAGGCCCTCCTGCTTCTCAAGTGGAGGGGCAGACACAGAGGAAGCCCCGTGACAAGCTGGATGGACGCAGTGGCTACAGCAATGGGCTCAGGCCCAGGAACAATGGTGAGGGTGGTGCAGGACCAGGCAGTGCTTTGTTTTGTGGTCCATGGGAGCGCTGTGGGGCTGAATCACCTCGATGGCACCTCACCGCAAGAGCAACCCTGATCCTGGCTCCCCTGAGCACAAATACTACCAGAGGATCCATCTGACAATGAACTCTGCAAGCAAGTGGTTTCAGGTTAGAATTCCTGTCCTATAGGTTACACGCTCTGTGACCTTGGGCAAGTTGCCCAGTGAGTTAGTTAGTGTATTGTGTCAACCTGGCCGATAAACACATGTGGGGTTCATTGAAGGGTGGAGGGATAAATGGCTCAGTGAGCCTCGCCTTTCTAGTTCTC